TCAACAATTATAACAGTGTTGCTAAAAAAGGACAAGCAGCTAGAGGATTATTCTTATTTTGTCACCTGACTAAACTGAGAGTAATTTATTAATTTTCTGAATTGATATTATCTCTGAATTACCAGCATCACAATATAACTCGTCTATGTTAAAAAAAGTGTTACTTTATCTGGGGTGTAAACAAGACATCAGATTATTAATACAGTAAATACCATGTTTAAGATATGCCTACAAAAACGTAATGACTATTATTTAATATTGGGGAGAAGATTTAACATTTTGCAATATTTATTATTGGCATTGTATTTATGCAATGTATTTTGTTTCAAAACAGGAATATCAGAAGAGCAACACTGTTTATGAATTTTTTTCTTATTTACATTTGACATTTTTAGCATTAAAACAACCTTAAAACAGGGCTCTATCAGCCTCTCTGCACTGTAATGGGACAATTTGGTATCCTTAGACATATAACGTTACTTTTATAAAGCATAATATTGTTTTCTTGTTTGTGTATACATACTAAGTGCAACTGGTGAAAGTGCAAAGGCTCTTAAGTCAGTCCCAACCAGCAAGGCACTCATTCAGATCACTGAGTCCTACCATGTGTTTGATTCTGGGTGGTATTGTTAATCTGTTGTGACGGCTAGTGCCACCAGTGGCCAGAATATCCTCAGAGTTTGTACATGTGAGCTTGCATTGTAGCCAGTTAGAGCTGCATCATATTAAAAGGGGAATTAAATTTGTTTAAGAAGCTGAATTTTCTTTAGTGGTAAAACGCCTTCTTATACAAAGTAAAGAGAACTGCTGATTTCTCTCCAACTAAAAGCCTGGGAACACACCTTGTCCCATTGTAACCATTAACATAGATCACCAAGGGTTTCACCTAGTAATAGGATACATTATTGTAGAATGTTCTGTCCTTAATGAGTATATTTGCCAGTTTCAGAAATGTTTTATGGAATAGTGTTCTCAGGACCCCAACTCCAGGGACAATACAAGCCAGAGACACCAACAAACAGCTCTCTGTCACAGAGCCCTGGCTCCTGTAACCTTTTCAGCTTGAATGTCTAGTGATAACTCCACAGTGCCTCAATGGTTTTGTATCACTAGATAGATTGCATACTTCTCAATGGAATGGGCCACCTTGTCCTCGAAAGCTGTAATCCTCTCTCTTGTGCCTTGGAAATGCTTCTGCAGTGCACTTTGGCCGACTCGCGACAGTTCTTTGAGGAGCATTGCCCCTGTAATGCTGAATTTGCTGGACATCACACATCACAGAAACGGGCAAGCCTGTGTGTCACGCGCTGAACAGTGTCTTGTCAGGAGAAGTTGTCTTCACAATGGATTTTGTTTTAAATTGGAACATTTTCCCAAAATGAAATCTTAAATCTTAATTTGTCACCTTCACAGCATGATTTGTCATTAGGTAAATTATGTGCATATATACCGAAATTCCATTTCATGGTTTTCCAATTTATGCTCTGTTTCATTATAGATGTTATATATATATATGTGGGTAGTCAGGGTGACTAAGTGATAATTAGATGGCATCCTTTAATAATGCTGTCAATACGTTTGGCCTAATGAGTGCATTCATCTAGACTTTTTTTACCTGAAGAAATCCCATCTCTAACAAAAGCTTAATTTGCGTAGAATATGTCAGCGAGAGAAAAACGGTGCTATATTTATCCTAATTCATACAATTCAATGTGAGGTAGAAGACTGTATCCAGAGTTTTAATATGTGAGAAGAAAAAGTCATGCAATTTCAGTTAATAGAAAATGAGCAAACTGAGATCAACATTTTCTCGCAAGATTATTTTAGTAAATTGTTCCATTGGGCTCTTTTCTGGAAGTCTTAGCACTGATAAACATTATATGTAATGCTTACTCCATTGCTGAGTTTGTGTCTTGCTCAGACAGGTGGTTTACAAATAACTTGTGAGGTTAAAGAGTACTGTGAATTTCAGTGGACCATAAAGTGAACACCAAAATCTGTTCACTGGCATTTAAACCAGAACGTTCCTTGTATTATCCGTTTTACCTTCTACACATTTATTTCCTTGGTTTCAAACTCATTATAAATATGCATTTTTTTCAAACGACATTTTCACAAAAGAAAATGCCAAGAAACTTTTTTTAGAAAAGATTTTAGACTAGTGATATGAAAAAAGATCATAAAGCAACAATACTTTAACAACATCTTCTTCCAGTCTGTGAAATTGTGTCTGCTTCCTTGTTGCTCTGGAGCTCTGGAGTTAGGGCTTGGGCTTGGATCTGTAGCAATTTTAAAACTGAGCACTAGGGTGGTACAGAAGATTGCACCATCAACCATTGTGTTGTTTTGCAGGTGCATTGATAAACAAGTCTGTTGCATTTACAGTCCCAAAAATAAATTCCATGATTTGGAACTGTACTCAAATATTAATATACTATGTGGTTTATAGTTTCTTTTCAATTTGATTTTGATCTGTAATCCACTTCATAGTAAGTTTTAGTTCTGTTTTCTTGTAGGAAGGCTATTCTTTTGTTTTTTCTCTATACCGTTCTGAGATAAATGTTCCCGATTTCAATAGATGGTTCATAAAAAATAAAATTTTAAGAAGCAAAAAAATGTGAAGGATAGCCGTTCTGTGCAGATACTGGTCTCTTGTGAACAAGAAAGTACTTTTTTCACGTTTGATCACATAAGTTAGTGGATTGTTTACTATAAAAATGGTCACCATTAGAACTTCTTTTTTAGTTCTTCTCGTGTGCAGTTATTATTAAAGTTAACATGACTTTAATAGGTCCAGAGAGACTGATAAAAAGATTCTGGGGCCAGGTATTGTAGCTTGAAAATTCAAGGCTGCAAGCCTCTAATTCAGACAGGCTGTGTAACCAAGCATGAGCTAAATAATAAACAGATGTGAGTCACCAAATATAGCATGCTTAAGTCCAAACTACAAAGGGACACAAAATGAAATGATAGGGTATTAGCAGGAAGATACAATTTGCAGGTCAAAATGTAATAGTAACCTTTCACTGTGCAAATTGAAAATTAACCTTTGGAGTATTGAATCATTTGCAGCTGATACTGCATACTGGGCGGAAATTTCTCTTGAGCAGAAAATGGGGAAAAAAAGATCATCTCTAATGATGAACTTGGGTAATATTTATTGCTCTGTGTGTCTATTGTATGCAAACTTCAAAATTAATTTGACCGCTAAAAAAATGTAATAGTAAAATTAAACTTGAGAGAGTGGAAGAGTGGAAGATTCTGAGTCATAGTTATTGTTTTTAGTTCCCTACCGTGTGAGTTTACAGTACAGTGGTTTATTATACGATAAGCAACATAAGCCATGACGGTTTTCATAGCATAAATAATGTGGCCATTGACTTGAAGTGTTTTCAAATATTTTTAAAATTCTAAAATGGTTGTTTTAGTTAAATGTAGCCACAGCCAAAAGACCATTAGTTCATAGACTTATTATGTGCACAAAATAAAATATTTACCTTTTTCCTTGATAGATAGAGGTCTTGAAATGTTAGCTTGGACCTACCGGGGATTAATGAATGATTACATTCTCAGCAAGAAAGGCTTATAATTCTAACCTTGTCATATTTAGCTGCTGTCAGCAAAAATGTACTTTATGAGGGGAGACTCATAAAGTGCCCCATTCATTATGCTAATCTCATTAGTTAAGATCTGTTAAGTAGAGAGCAGTTTAATGCATGCTTTTCCGTTTTAATTATTGACCATAAATACGTTTTAGTACATTAGAAACCTGAGTGCAACACTGAGCGTTTAAATAGATTAGGAGGCAAACACATTATCTAAAGGTACATATTTAACTAATCTAGCATTTTAAGGATATTAATGCAGACATGACATAAATTGCAGCTTGTCATTTGACCCCAATCTTACCCTTCAGACCTGTGTTTGTCGATAGCATGGGTATTTTGTATCATTGTCCAGGACTGTGTACATGCTAGCTTTCTGTAGTCTCATAAATCTCATAGTCTTTATTCTTTTTTAAGGCCCCCTCATAGTAGTAGTTAATTTACGTTAATTGTACTTATTAAGATATGGATTCATTTTCAAGCTATTTTATTCTTTTTTAGTTGCTGATTATATTGGAGTCAGACAGAGCATCAGATGGCTGGGTTACAGATAAATTATCATAGACCCCCCATTAAAGGAATTAAAGGAAACTTTGTAGTGAACTTATATACATCATAGTAGGGAGGCACAGTGGTTAGCATTGCTGCTTTGCGGTATGGGGGCCCTGGGTTCAGTTCCTGGCGTGCTGTCTGTGTGGAGTTTTTGTTCATGTGTGTTTCCTCCGGGTGCTCCAATTTCCTTCCAAAGACAAACTGTTAGGTTAATTGGCTTCTGGGGAAATTAGCTCTGGTATGTGTCTGTGCATGTTTGTGTCTGTGTGTGCCTTGCGATTGACCGGCATCCCATTCAGGGTGTATCCTGTTTTGCACCCATTGCTAGCTGGGATATCCTCTCACTATCCCACGACCCTGTTTTGGACCAAACAGTTAGAAAATGAACAGATGAATATTATTGTACAGCTGTGATGAGTATTTAGAATCATTTGCACTATCAGACAGCAGAGACATACGTGAGGCTTTCAGACTAATGTTTCACAGAAAAATATCCAGACTATACTGCCTTTAATATTAATACTTGTGAATCCAAAGACTTTAAGTGTTTTGTTTTTCCGCAAAAATGAATAAAACTGAAACCTTCTCATCCTTAACTAAATAGGCGCCAGGTCCTTCATTGTCCTGGCTGAAGGGAGTCACTGCACGGGGAGCCCTTTTTGACTCTGTGCTTTTGCATTGCTGGTGAAAGAAATCTGGAGATGCTTCACATGGCTGTGTGTGATGGGCCAAGCTTTTGAGAAACCAGGTGCCCCTTTGGCCCCCTTGAACTGCGTGGCCGGCTGGCTGTTTTTGAAGGGTGTGTGCTTGACCCCTGACCCTGTGAAATCTGATGTTCTTCAGGTGGCTCTGGTGCAGTGGACAGAGAGCGTAGGCCTCATACTGGTCAACAGAGATCTGACCTCCATGCAGCTGAAGACCCCTGGTGGACAAATCCTCACATTTTACATCCTGCAGATTTTCCCATTTACATCAGAGAGCAAAAGAATGGGGATCATTGTTAGGGTAAGGGGTTTTATAATCTTTTCAGAAATCTAGCAAATCTCTTGCTGTTTTATTTATGTTATTCATCTCTCAATAAAAAAGCCATTGTCGGTTTGTAGGCAGTACATAATTCAGTAGGTTTATGTGTGTTTTTCCTGCAATTTATGTTAAATGACCTCTGGACAGAAAACTGCAGTTCTTGCTGTTGTATTATTTGTAATTTATTTGGTAATTTCTTTACCCATGTCACATTTAAATAATACAATTTAGTAAATACAATACTACAATTTAATTAAAAAATGACATTATAAAGTCATACATAATTGCTAAAAAGTCCTGTGGTTTCTGTGATATTATAATTCAGTGAAATACACAATACAAGATACATTGCAGGCAGTTATGGTCCTTAAGTGGTAAGAAAGTAAGATTTTCTGTTTTTTGGGTTAAATTTAATGTGATCGTTTAAGCCTAATGGTGCAATTCAGGAAGACTACATTGTAAAATAAATGATAAATGTTGTTATCTTTATATTTTTAATTTGTTATTTAAAAAAAAACAGTTTTCCTGCAATGTTTGTGAATGTTATTGTTATAGTCTTACTTAAAAAAAGTGTACAGAACTAATCAAAGATTATCTCTATAACATGAAACCAATCAAAGAGCTAAACTTAGGAACATCCTTAGTGTGATTTTGTTTTTTGTTTCATTCCTACTGATCCTTGAGGGAAGCCAAAATGAAGACATACCTGACAGGATATGTACAAACCAGTGCCGTGCTTTGATGACGCCTTTTTTGTTTTTAGAGTATATAGTTTTTAAGAGTTTTATTTTGTAAAGCTCAACTTTCTTTTGGTCTTGACTTGCTTTTCAGGAGGAAGCTACTGGAGAAATAACATTTTACATGAAGGGGGCTGATGTTGCCATGTCAAGCATTGTACAGTACAACGACTGGCTTGAGGAAGAGGTAAGGAAATTGTAAAGCTTTCAATTTACCCACTCAGCTAATTGTGTGTTGCCTGGGAAAAAAACGTCAATAATAAGACCAGTAATATGATGCAAGTATCACATAATTATATGGATGCATAACTATTATGTAGTTGAAATTAATTGTCTCAACATTACTGCAATTGGTACAGAAACAGTCTTTGATAAAATTACGTACTTTACATACGAATGAACACATTTCTTTTCCATGTCAGGGACCAACCTCTTAACTGGAGGTTTATAATGATGATTCTAAAAGAAGGCAACAAAAAATCCTATTCCAGAGCAGATCCCATCTCACTGTGTGAATGCATGCCTCACAATGTGGTGTATGGCCCATTTTGTATCTGCTTGTATTGTGCAATGATTTTTTCAATGGTTTATTACTGCCCATGCCTTTTATACATAATGAACACTTAATAAGCAAAGGCAATCATCTACACACTGACTATGGAAGCCAAGGATTATCGAAAGATTCATGTGCATATGTTCATGATTGTATTGGCAATATTTCCAAGTCAATATCTGCTGGAAGGCAATTTTATTTAATTAGTGACCTGAATAAACTTCTCTCCCATGAGGCGACATAAAGTGTCATAAGCATAGCTATGGTGTTAATGATGTACGATTAACTGTAATAATCCCATTTCAATTCAACAGGGATATAAGGACATGTCAATATACAGTAGACTTGGTACAGCAGTTTCTGTGGATCTGATTTTTATATAAAACATAAACTGCAGATCCCCTTTTATTGTGTCCTTTAAAATTACCCTACAGCTATATTTTAGTCATTGATTGTTTTACAGTATTGTACTATTTAAATCTCTGAGGCAGCTGTTAATATGGGTTCTGGGAGTATTCTGGACATAACATTTTGGTCCTCAGTTCTGTTTTGGATGCTTTGTGCAGACATACTGTGCTATTTTAATCCTAAACAGAGAGTCACGTTTGCGGAGGTAACAGCTGATATGAGACATGTTGAGAGAGTTTTAATCGTTGATTTTAAAGTCTGATCTCCCGTTGCCCATAATTTGTTACAGAAATTAGAATTTCCTTTATTCTCTGCCCCACTAAGTACAGTGAATCACTAAAACCTAAAGCTACTGTAGGACACAGGTGTAGCACAAGGTATACAAGAGGTGTTCAAGTGTTGGAGCTTTTCAGTTGAATACCTTGACTGTCTTAATGATTATGAGATGGAATCTCAGATAACTATGTTGTTGGGTCATTGTTGTGTGTCATTTTTTATTATGTCTTTTCAAGTGTGGGAACATGGCGAGAGAAGGCCTGAGAACTCTTGTGGTGGCAAAAAAGTCTTTATCAGAAGAGCAGTACCAAGACTTTGAGGTAAGCACAATCACCCTTTATGTTTTGTAGATGGACTACTTTCATGTACATATTAGCTGCAAAAAAGGGAGAGCTGTTTGTAAGATGTTGAGTCATTTATTCAGTAAAATCTCATCCCCAAATGACAGACAGGCTTTACAGCCATGTGAGGTTACCAGTTCGAACACAGACATGGTTCCTAGATGTCTTCAGTTTGTAATTAACGGATTGTACCATGCATGTCTTCATCTCGTTTAATTGAGGGCTCAGTTCTCTCTTTTGAATTTCTCTTGCTCTCAAAAAATGCAAAGTAGAATTCGTCCCATTGTCATCATACATTGTCATCCTGGATCGAGTCCAGTAGAGGAAACAAAACAAGTAATATGCAAGAAACTGTTGCCTAATTTGAAGGCCTGTCAGAACCTAGTATTAAATAATATTATTATTTAATACCAATAATAATAAGTTGTATTTTTTTAAAAGCAATTAGAAGACTAAATTTGCTAGAAAACAACATATTCGTATACGTATAATCAGTGCGCTCAGCTTAATTTAATTGCATTATATTGTAACACCTTCTGTAATTATGTAAGATAGAATTTACTTTTTATAAATTTGATATCATCCTGTATTTTAAATAACAGTACATATGCAATGTTAAACTCAGTAGTGTATTGAAAAAAAATAACTCCACTGTTATTGTAATGCTATTGGGATTAATAACACAGCTGCGTAATTTCAGACTCCAGTGGCCAATGTGTGCAGAAATGCTTTCCATCTTAAATTTGAGCTTTCTGCCGTCCATGCAATGTTGGAGACATCCATTGGTTCAACTGCATCAGTACCTTTCAGGATTCGAATACTTGCCTTCAGTGTTTTCTCAAAGCCACACTAAAGATATTTAGTCTTTTTATTGTACATATCACTGTAGGAAGTTTTTTTTCTATATGTAGTATTAAACATCTGGTCTTGCAGATACATTGTACAATTTTAAAAACATAACATCCGTTAAACAGATGCATTTTTATTTATTGTTTCCCCTTATCATCCGGAAGAGGGCTCTGAGGGGTCAGCATAAATACCCAAATCTTTGATATGAATAGTTTCTTTAAGTTGTGTTTTTTGTCTTATTTCATCTGCTGCAGAATCGATACAACCAGGCCAAGCTGAGTATACACGACCGCAGTTTGAAGGTAGCTGCTGTGGTGGAGAGCCTGGAGAGAGAGATGGAGCTTTTGTGCGTCACTGGAGTGGAAGACCAGCTGCAGGCAGACGTCAGGCCTACATTGGAGATGCTGAGAAACGCTGGAATAAAGGTAAAAAAAACCTTGTTAGCAATTGCACTAAAACTTTCTTTTGTGTACCATAAACCAACAATAAATTGGTATGCATTTGTAGATTTAATGTACATTAAATGAATTATTACTTTTCAAGTAGTGTTTATCTAGAATGACTGCAGTTTTCAATAAGCGAAGATAAACAGAGGAATATTTGTTAACCCAGTTTATTTGAATTATCTTTAATATGGAGTCTCTTCAATCTTCAGGTGAGCTTCCTCTTCCACAAATTATATTTCTATTTCCACTATTGTGTAGAAATATAACAATGTTTTTTTTCTTTCAGGACTGTTCTTATTTCTTTTGTCATGTATTCATTTGTTAAAGATTGATAAGGCATCATTTGACATTATCTTACATTTGCACAATATTTTAATATTGATTTACACTATTGTATGACAGAAGTTACCATCACTTTCAATTAATTCATTAGAGAATCTTTTTGTGTTTTCCTTTTTGGTGGTGAAGATAGTTATTGAGATAACTACTATATGTTTCACTTCTGCAAGCAACTTTGTTTTATGCCTATTCCAATGTCTTTGTCTGAAAGGTCTTTTTGAGCACTTCCAATCAAAGTCAAATACTCATCACCACATATACTGTACAAATGTTATAGAAGAAGCAGCATTATGACATTACTTCATACATTGATCAGATGTTAGAGTCCACTGCTAGTAAAATGGTCCAGGCTAAACCAGTATGATAATAAATGCTTTACAGAGAAACATCAAGCTTGTTCACAACACTTTGGTTATTTCTAAGATGTCCCTGCATGACCTCAGTTGGACATTGGGTTTTGGGAAGCCAAAAAGCATTTTTACTGAACCACTGTCATAGCCATGTACAAAGAGGCGGATTGTCATTCCAGTGGACATCAGAGCACCACAGAATTACTTTGAAAGTGTGTGTGAATGGGGGGCGGACAGTGTCACCATATAATTGCCCCTAATCTGAGCCCATACGAGGAGCTACAGCCCTAAACCATTATATTTTCTTCTTTTTTGCTTGTCCAAATTTAGTCACTTTTTTACTTATAACTTCAGGATTAGTACATTAGTTGTATTTGTTTTCTGCTCTTCTTTATTACATTGAAAAAGAACACGTCTACCACTGTCTGTCAAACAGATGTTAAACTCTAAGCAGAAACCAAGCTACTCATCTCTAGAGATCACACAGAAACAAAACTCCTACGTGGTACTTTCTACCTCATGTCTTTAAGTAGTTACAGGTCATGGATTTGACCTGATATGCAGGATTTTCTAACACATATCCTGTGTCCTGTTTACCTCATATGTCAGTGAGCTTGATTTTGGTTAGTCAGCTTTTTGCAAAGCTTTTCTCCAGAGATCTTAAATTACGAGGTAAAGGAGATAAAACGCTCTTCATAAAGCATTCACAGTAAGTGCAGTACTGTTAAGTCAGGATGTTATGTGGGGTCTGGTTTATGTCATTGTGAATTCCCTCTCGCCATATTCTCAGTCTCTTTCCAGTAGAATCTCTTTGTGTTTCTCTCTTAGCTCTGCCATTGATGGCTTGAGATTCCACCATATTTGTGGATTCCTTTTGAGGAAGAGTAGATTTTAATGTACATCTCCCATCATGCCAGTTATCTAGTTATAAGTGTTATTTCTGTCCTTGAACTCCTGTCTGTTCTGTTTTTAAAATCTGTCACTCTGTAGAAAATGCACATTGTAGACATGGGACCAACAGATGCAAACACTCCAGCAAGTGTACTATTCCAATGCTTTCAGTTCTTTTGCTGCATGACTTCACATATGTAACAGTTGTTTTGTGTTTCAGATATGGATGCTGACAGGAGATAAACTAGAAACGGCCACTTGCATTGCAAAAAGTTCCCATTTGGTAGCCAGAAGCCAGGATATTCATATCTTCAGACCGGTAGGAAGTTACTTTATTATATATATTTTAAATGACTTCCAGTGTTCCAGTAAACTGTTCCACAAATGAAAATTGTTATCAAGTACTAAACAAACTTGACATTTCGCCTTTCCAAATTCTTCAGGATGTGGAGGCAGCAAGTGTTAAAACCAGCCTTAACTCGGCATGTATTATACAAACCTAATTAATTTGCAGACGTAATTATTTAGATATAATTTACATATAAATGTGTTTTTTCGTAAAATAAATAAATAAAATAAATATATAAAATAAACCAGAATACTAAATGACACCCTCCAGACTGCAATTTACTATTAGAATGTTAAAGTGTTTGGTGGCATTGAAGTACAATTTCATCATGACCTTTTGGGCTTCAGGAATGAGAAATAAAAAAGAAGCCCTTTCATGCATTAATTATTGAAAATAGATTAAAATAAATGAAAAAAATACATTTGAAATTTTTTTACCTATTTTTTTTTTATTGAAAATAGTTTTTAGGTTATTTTCATTTGGTTTATAAAGGAGGAATCCTGAATATGAAGGTACAGAAGAAAAATAAATAAATACTCTTATGTTTGTGACTTGTCCCAATATTATTAGGGATTAGAAAAAAGTAAAGACATTTTTAAAGTTTACTGCTAACATTACCAAAAATGAGCAAAATTATTTCATGAATTAAAGAGAGAAATACAATCTTTCAAAGTGACTTGACTTGAACAAGTCACCTTATTAAATCATTCTCCTACAAGGAAGCAGTATAAGTGAATCAGTGCATCTTCATTTTCTTAGGTTTGTAAAAAAAATGCATTTTGCTCTTATTAATTAATAGCCGTTAATGTATTACTAATAAGTAGACTATCACTAATTATCTAAATCAATTGTTTGTAGACTATATCCTATATTATATAGACTATGTCTGACTATATCCATGCATATTAGTTTTAATAATGTAGATACAAGTTGGTATAAAACTGATAATTAGTTTTTTGAACGACTTTTTTGAACAATGAAGAACCAAAACTCTGCTGTCAAATATGTTTGTGGTCCTTGTTTTGCATGATTTAAGAAGTAAAAATGGAAAAATCCTTTTCTTTTTGATGTTTGGTGTCAACACAAAATAACTTGTCATATCGAATCCTGTTTATACCCACAATTTATAGGAAACAATGCTGGCACTCATCATTAAAATAATTATAACATTGCCATCTAGTGGAAAAAACAAACTGTAAGGTCAGGCGGTACGAGCTGCAATAAACTCTTTCATAATTACGTTAGGTGATATTTCATTGTAATAGGTTTTTTAATGTTATTCTCTGTCATAACTTTTCTACTGATCCATCATGTGAGTGATATTACAATTAGGCTGTGATTATTTAGTGTGACTAGAAATGAAACAGACCCTTTTGTATGAAGGGATTTGACAAGGAGAGCAAAGTGATGCTAATTTATTGTTCACTATTCAAGTCTATTATTTAGAGTTCCTCACTTTGCACCTTCCAGCACTACTTCTGAGAAGAAAGACTTGAGGATCTGATTTGGAAGAAGCAACAGAGATTTTCGAGTGGTGTTGCCTTGTAACGTTTAAATTTCTAAAACAATATGTATAAAAATAAAAGAAAATATGGGGTGCATTCATTTATCTTTTGCATGATCAGTACACAGTTTATTTTGATTTCAAAAGAACTCTGGAGGTTTTAATTTTTTTTCAGTAAATTAATATACGTCACCTTTCTGGGCATTATAAGGCTGTAAAATAAAATGTATCATCTGAATTTGTATTATATAAAAGCCCTGACAACTGTTATCAATGTAGCAAATTAATTTGTCTTTTTAAATTTTTTTATGTTGCATGAAATGAAAATTAACATAATGTCTTCCAATGTGCATTAATAGCAGAGATTTTTGCACTCAATATAAAGCAGAATTTTGATTATTTTGACTGATTATTAGTCTCTGAATAATAATACAATACACGCTTTCATGGAGCTTTTTCCACAGTATGAGGCTTTATAATAATGATGTGCCCAATTTACTACAGTGAATACATTTTTAAGTGCTAATCTTGACACAGTCTGTTTGGAACATGAGAACAAACCTAATTTCTTAGTGCCTGCCAATTTTTCTCATATATTTACAGATTTCTGCATCATCCAATAAGGAGGCAAATTACATTACAAAAATTACAATGAGCAGTTTTCTGCCATAAAGCATTTTTTCATTACGTTTAGTACAAAAATGTACTTCAAGTAAAATATTGAAATTGTTGTGGGATTTAATTACCAACTGCTTTTAGAACGTTTGACAACAGCCATCGAGTGGAACAGGTTGTTCTCACTGTATACAGTATGTTGCATGAAATGTAAAATACCCATAATTTCTTCAAACATGCATGGATATTTTAAGAAGGTTTTTTATAGTATGTTCAATATAATTATCACAGATATCTGTGCAAATCTGTTGCACTTATTTCAGTTTTTGTGTTTTCATCCCTACTGTATGTATTACATTTTCTCCATCTCAAATGTGTAAATTCTATAGTCATATATATATATAAGTCCTTTAAAACTCTATAGAATGTATAAGTGGCTGTATTACTAAATTCTAAAACATTTAAAAATGTGCTCAGTTGAAGCATTATGTGGATCTATGGATAACATTGATGTTTTGCCATGCTGCAGGTAACTAACAGAGGTGAGGCCCATTTGGAACTGAATGCTTTCAGGAGGAAACATGATTGTGCACTTGTCATTTCAGGGGACTCTCTTGAGGTAAAACCTGATTGTGGTTTTCTTCAGTCATGAAAGGCAAACATTGGATGACATACTTTTGTTCACCTTTATATTACTTCTGTCGTGTTACATGGATTGTACTCTAAAACTGCCTCTAAAAGAACTCTTATCTTCAATCCAGTTCAGTCTGACATTAATCACTACATTCACGCTTTAAGAGAATTGAAATGTCAAAATCTCTGGATATGCAGTATTGATTTTTGGAGAGGAATGATGCAAATTATGGATTTTTGTTTTGCCGTTTTTTATCATTTAGCTACATTTTGCAGAGTTTTCGTTTCTTTGATTTACCCATCAATGCATAGAACTCATCAGTGCATATCCAGAGAAATATTTTTTTTCTAATAGCAAGGCAAACAATAACAGAGGGACCAAAGAAATTGTGTATTTACCCGTTTGAAATTAAAAACTATAAAAAAGCATGTAAGTCATATTTCCTTCCTTTTTTTGGTTGTTGGACATTGTATCCAAACAGAAATGTTCCTTTAAACCTGTGTTGTCTGGAAATGATTAGCCAGCCCATCCAGATCTGGTTCTTTGCTTCCTCTGGTGTCTTAACGGGCTTTGTCACATGTGCTCCTAGGTTTGCCTGAAGTACTACGATCATGAGTTTGTGGAGTTGGCATGCCAGTGCCCTGCGGTCGTGTGCTGCCGCTGCTCGCCAACACAGAAAGCGCAGATCGTGAAGCTGCTGCAACAGCACACTGGCAAACGCACCTGTGCCATAGGTGAGCAGAGAGATGGGCCTCCGCAAAGCCCTGGTTAAAGTTAGCCTTTTTATCTGTTCTGACTGTTGCGTCGTCTGGGCCCCTTTTTATTGTTTGTTCGCCACGCCCAATTTGGAGGTGCTGGTTTGGTGTTCTCTGTGTCTCGCAGCTTGCAGCTGTCAAACCCAGCAACCGCACACAGGGGAAGAACAGAAAGTACAGGCCGCCCACCTTCAAGCTGCTCCCCTTCCAACACTTCACAGGCAGTGTCTGAATAGCCCAACCCAAACTGAAGGTTCAGCACTGATTGGAAGAGGGGCCCAGTGTCCTTGAGGTTGCGGGGGTCACTGGGTAACTAAGAGTGACCTTTGGCTGACCAATTCCACCCTACCTTCATGGGTGTTCAGCCAACTGGCCACCACCTCTTGGCAATCTGTGGCCACCTTGGCTAGTGCCAAGGCCCAAGCTTGAAGCCTTTAATGGTTGAGACCCTCAAGAGGCTCTTGTTCTGTACTTTACCACAGATGTACCAGTTTTTACAGTTGTATACATTTAGTCGTTTTGTGGTTTGATATAATTTCAACATGCCCTCATTGTTTTGTTTCATAGGAATATCCATAGGAATATCATGATATAGTGTGTAATAGTGAACACTCTTTAGAGACACATAGAGGTTAAGTCCAGGCTGACAATTAAAAAAACGCATTTTGTCTGCTGATCTTTTCTTCAGGTATGACATTTGAAGAAGGGGTTTTTACTTCTCCAACAGGAATTAACCTCTGCTTGTACCTTCACAACCAATGCAAACTGACGCAGCTGTCCACTGTAGTTGGCTTTATCATGATATTCCTATTCTCCAATGCTGGCATGTACAAATCCCAGAAAACAAAGATTTTTCCAAATCTTTTTTTTTCTTAAACTTCATCCTTCAAGAGGAATTTAAGATAGATACTTTATTAATCCCATAAAGGAAATTGCAGTGCAACAGCAGCCTGGCACAGTCAACACAGCACAGTGTTAAGAAATGATACAATAATACAACAATACAATACAGTAAGTGCAGTCAGTGAGACGTGCAGTAAAAAATGGAGTATAGAGAATCACACACAGTATAGAAGATACAAAACAAACCAGAATGTACAGTACACAAGAAGATGTATTGCACATTATAAATATATTGCACAGATCCCCAGCATATATTGCACATCAGTTGTAAACAGGAAAACCAGCTGTAAACAGAGAATTCATGTTTAGTCCAAAAACAGGTCAGTGTCGTCCCTGACCAGACACACAGTGGATGAGTTGTAAAGACTTATGGCAGAAGGCAAGAGTAGCCTCCTGCAGTGCTCCCTGTTGCACTGTGGTTGGATCAGCCTATTGCTGAACGTGCTCTTCATTCTCACAAGTAAGTCATAGAGGGGATGGGAGACGTTGTCCATGATGGCCATTAATTTGGACACCATTCTCCTCTCAGCCATTACCTCCAAGGGGTCCAGATCAGACCCAGTGACAGAACTTGCTCTTCTGGTGAGCTTGTTCAGCCAGCAACCCCTGCTCTAATCCCAGAGCCCCAGCACACCACCGCATAGAAAATGGCACTCGCTATAACTGACTGGTAGAACATATGAAGAATCTTACTACACAGGACCTGAGACTTAATAAAATAAAATTAAGTAAATTAAATTAAATATTAAATTTTTTAAAATACTGATAAATAGAAATAAAAAGTGTACAGTTGGCCAAAATTAAGCATGTAATTACATTGTTGAAGTCTGCAGGTTAGTCCTCACAGTGCACTGCCACTGTAGGATTTGTAATTGAAATAAATTGTTTGTGTCTGAACACATAAACCTGACTAAATAGTATGGAGTTCATTGTGATTTGGACTGACTAAAAAGGAACAAAATATCACTCTCAAGGTTAGTTTAGTTTTATTCAAAGACACATAATGAAGACTGAGGCAGCTAAAGACAGCATGGAATCATCTGAAAAAAGCTTCCTCTTCTCCTAAATACTCTCTATTCTATCTGGAGTATCCAGATCCTATGCTGTGTCGATTGTCGATGTGTTTTGTCATTATTTCTTTAAGAGCTTGACTAGTACAGTATCTCACTGAGATCCGATAAATGCACGTTATAGGCAAACAGTCGCTTTCTAAAATTACCAGGCCCATTTTCCATGAGGTGTTGCTAGTTGTCATTTCTACTTATTGTGGCTTAGAAGTTGATCTTCCATCCTGTGCAGAACTGTAGAAGTCTTCTGTCTTGAGCTGAACGGATTTCAAATGAGTTTGTCACTGCAGTCTTCCTTTTTGGGAGTACGTACTCTAATAAAGTCGTATACAGCAAAAAGGAGCCTCCAGTCTTATTTTTTTGTATTCTCCTAAGAACTTAGCAGTTTGCTTACTTTCGTCCTTTTAGTAACAGCTCCCTAAAGCACAGCAGCTTCCATTTCACTCTTTTTTACCCAAGCCTACCACCTGTACTGCATGTGACACAGATGCCTTTATGCCTTACAGGTGATGGAGGAAATGACGTCAGTATGATCCAGGCAGCCGACTGTGGGATTGGTATCGAAGGAAAGGTAAAGAGACAGGGAAAACTCAAACATGTTCAAAATGCTTTAATTTGGGCCCCTAAAATAACTGCCTTCTGGAGTCCTTGCCTTTATTAGTCATGGTTCCACCTGCCAGTGACGCTGTGGGTTTGATGGAAGCAGTTGCTTATTATGTGTTAGCACTGCTACAGGAAACTCAGTCTGAGTATCTGAGGGGATACGCGGTGTTCTAGAAAATATTAATACAATTGTAGAACAGCTTTTTGTGTCTAAAAAAGTAATTATTACATACCATGACTCTTGGAAGAGTTGAAAACATTTTTATTGAAGTCTGTGACTAAGAAAAAAAACACTGGCTTCCCTAGAACAGCCATTCTTCCCCTCCTTAACCTATTTTCAGCTGTGCTTATTAAATACTGTTTTGTTTCTTATTCGGTTCTTTTTTAAAATAAATTAAACTGACTTTTCTGCTTTTAGACACCTTTACTTAACAGCATTTTTATGAATTGCAAGAGTGAAGTTTGTGTTGTGTAATATGAGGGGACTTTGTTTTTGCATAGGAAGGGAAGCAAGCTTCTCTGGCTGCTGATTTCTCCATCACGCAGTTCAAGCACATTGGCAGGTTGCTGATGGTTCATGGACGCAACAGCTACAAGCGCTCAGCTGCTCTCGGGCAGTTCGTTATGCACAGGGGCCTTATTATTTCCACAATGCAGGTAATTCTACCACTGTCTGTCAGAGAATTTAGGGGAATTGAAGACAGCAGTCGTCAGGTTGTCCAGTCAAATCTTTTGTAATTAGAAAGTTTGTACTACTTCTCAAAATGTGTAACTTAAAGGAAAATGACTAGAAAGGTAGATGTTTTTTACACCAGTTGGCTCATTTTGCTACACACTGTGGCATTGTATAACTGTGTTGTCAAAAAAGACTAATACTGTCTCAGTCTATTTAGCAGGGTCCCAAATGCCTAGAAATTCAATTGTGAATGTAAAACACTCTTAGTGATATAAGACAGCTATATGAAATGTGCAGTATAGTCTCACCCTTTGTTTCTTTATGCTGGGTTTAAGGTCCTAGTGTTGTTTTGCATTGAGTTCTAGAAAGTACACACTTTACTTCTTTATGCTTTTAATAATTTGAATTATTTTTTGTTATACCCGCCCAATTTGAAACTGCTTACTGTGTTGGTCACTTCTCAACTTGTAACTCCAAACTCCTCATTTGCACATGAGGGAGAAAGGGTAGACAGACTCCTTCCAGTCTTCCCACCTTCCAGCCTTTCATCTTTTTACACAACACAGCCCCCTACCAGAGGTATAGCAGTGTGCTCAGTTAATTCCACACCACTGCTGCCAGTCACTGCCAGACCCAGTCAACAATTGACACAACTCAGGATCGCTGCTCCACTTTTAAACTGTTGTTTTTAACATGTGTTTCATTCCAGGCAGTGTTTTCTTCTGTTTTCTATTTTGCCTCAGTCCCCTTGTACCAAGGATTCCTCATGGTTGGGTATGTGCCTCTCTAACCTGCTGTAATAAGGGAGTCATTTTACTGTCTGCCAGGCCAGTTCATACTTCATAAAGGTTTTACAAAGACTCCTAAGTGCCTCAGCCAATAAAGCCCTCCACTCAGAGCCTAATAGTTTGCACATGAGTATGTATGATTTTTCTTTAGGATTCTACTGGGTGTCTTTGATTGTGATTGTCAGTTTAATTATTTCAATTAGTATGGGCACTTTGGATGAATAAACAGATAAAACAATTTATCTAAATGGATTATATTTTGTGTAATTGTGTATTCCTTCAACAAACATTTTTGTAAGTGCGACACCCAGATTCAGCTCAGATTCATTGATGTACAGGGTGTTTAGAAAGTTATCTGGCCTATTCAGGCAGCTGTATTAGGAAAACTGTACATTGGGGAGCAATGTAGTGGAATGTAGTCATTGGCTGAAATATTAGGAGTTCTTATTCAAATTAATATGCTTTTAGTGACAGAAAAAGTCACTGAAAATACTTGACTTGATGAGACTGATCATCCATCTTTGGCCAGAACAATTATCAGATCTCAATCCTGCTGAAAGCCAGTGGAATCAGGGAGCGTGTAGTTTCTTACCATACAGTTTCACTCTCAGCACACTGTCTGCTGAAAGTCATTCTGATAGAGGAATGGGGTGAGACTGAGCTACAAATATTTCTGAACCTCATTAAAACTCATCCCACTTTATTTTTTTTCTTGCTTGTAGCAGATATTTAACCTGAGAGCATCCACATTGAACCATGATAATCAGCTTCAACCAGCTGATTACCCCAACTAGTGCGGTGCCCCATGTCCTTCCACACATTGTAATTATGCTTATTGTAATTGGCATAATTGATGTTCACATTGAACCAATGCAGTGCCCTCCATTGTGTATTGCTGTTATGTTATTCCCATATGTGTGGTCCAGGTTCCAGCAACAACAGATGGCAGTTGTTGTCATACATTTAATCGAGCAGGTCACCTAATTTTAGGGCTAGATTAACTTTACCCCTGAAGTGAACTGTGCCACTGACTTGTCGTTGTTTCGGCTTTCCTAGGTATGCAACGATATACACAATGTTTCCAGTCTTCTCCTTGGTTTTAGACCAGGATGTGAAACCAGAGACTGCACTCCTGTACCCAGAACTTTACAAGGACCTCACAAAGGTAACGAACTCCAGCTTTGCAATGATCAGGAGATTCCCAGCTGAAAATGGAAACCCCAGTGTGAGCTGGCTGGGATCATCCTGTGTCTGCTTGTATTTGTTATAATTTAAAAATTATTGAAAATTGTCAGTGTTTTCTGCTGCATTTATTTATAATAATTAATATTTATTTTTTTCATTAACATTTACACAGAAGTTGGACTTGTAGACCCTGCCACTGTACTACTTTATCTTAGGTGTAACAGAGTTTGTCATAAAAGCCTGTCATGCTGTCATAAAAGCCTGTCTTTAGTATTTTGTGGTTGCACAAGTGCACTGGCAATAAATTATGCCATACCCAGTGAGCCTGTAACTCATACCTCTGAAGAAGAAAATTTGCATTGTTCAGCAAAGGACTTCTACAGGTGTTGAATTTCTCTGATTGGTTCTGAATCTACACGGTTAAAGGCATTAATATGTCCAAGTGCCTCATAAGATAGGCGTTCATACTGTTCCCTGAAGAGTAAAGGAACAGAGAGCACAGGACTTCTCCTGAATGTGCAGTGGGTCTGGGAGGAGGCAGTGGTCTATCACAGTTTTGCCCCCCATATTTAAAAAATATGCCCCCCATATTAAGAGCATTCTGCATTGCTACACTTGCATATTCATTTTTAACACATTTGTTTTTCTTCTAGGGCCGTTCGCTGTCCTTTAAGACTTTTCTCATTTGGGTTTTGATAAGCGTGTATCAAGGTAAAAGAATTTCAATGTTTTGATGATTATTTGATGGTTAATTCCCTGTAGAGTTTTATTTCTTTTCTACAGTGTGTTTCCCAGTAGCTTAGGTTTCCGAATGTCATCAGCAGTTACATGCTGCCTTTGGTCTATCTGGTAAATCGATATTTCAGTAAGCGCCAGCCAAGCTGTGCTCTGTGCTATAAGGATTGGTATTTTTATTGATGCATGACATCTCAACAGTTCTGTTTTTAATTAAAGGCTAATACTAAAAAAAAAGCAAAAATTTTGACTGCTCATCTATCACATTTCATTACACAGAGTTTGCCTCTGTGGAATGTGCACAATGTAAGAAAACGCAATTATGTGATCGGTTAGAGGCTATTAAGCACAATTTATGCAATGTTATAAATAAATGAAAGACGATCAAAATACAGTAAACATCATACAGATCCGTTCAGTGAAAAAGCTCTAGGCGATGCAATTTTTTCTTTAAAACACTTAATTGCCAGTATCACATTTCCCCAGTTTCCCGTTTCTGTTACCCAGCTCTGAAGGCAGCCAATGTAAGCAAGTATATTAGAGCTGTTACCACCACATGCATACTGTATACACAGTAGATCCTACTGTGAAGGAATGAGATTGGAGATAAAAGACTGCAGTCTGCTTGGAGGTTTTAAACCTGTTTACGATCTCAGCTCCTTGGAGCCCTGTCATTCAGAAATCATACCATAAGGGTTTGACAAAACTTTGTAATGTTGACATTTAGGAAGCATATGATTACGGAAATGCTTTTGTCATGGTACAATAAAATACTGTAGGCCTATTACAGTTAGAATTAGCAAGTATCCCAGGTATCTCTCGGTACTTACAAATATAGAATTTCCAGTTTTCTGTAAGCAGACAGTGGAGTGAGTCACAGCAGGAAGTGTTAGTTGCTCAATCAGAATACTATTGCTTTTCAATCAAGTCACATCCTCCTCCAAATTCCAGATTTCCTCTCTACACAGCTAAAGCACAGTGTTTCTTAAACCCGCTCAGCAAAAAGCCAAATTAATTGTTTTCCATTATAAAATATAATTTTTGTATTCATAACACATTCCTTTGATCACCAGTACCACCCTTTACAAGACTTGTCAAAACATTGGGCCATGCCTCTCTGAATAAAAATATATTATTACTCAATACAAACACTCAGATGCATACTGTTTAAAAATCTGTGTGCCTGCAGTTTAAAGCAACTTAAGTCCCATGTTTTTAGACATTTTGTGTTCTCTCTCGGAATATATGTTTGTAATAATGTACCCAAAAATCTGTTATGGTCACTGGTTGATTAACACTATGAAGAATGTTTAAAACAGCATTGCCTTCTGACTTCAAAAAGGGTTTGTACTGTATATTGTGCATGCAATGTACTGAAATATACACATTCCTTTTTGACAGCTGTCAAATGATGATTAATATTCTCAGAGTTGGCCAATCCTCTGCATTCAACTTCATAGAGATTTCAAATGCTCAGTCCTAAAAATCATCATCCCTTCCAAGTGTCTTCTGTTATAATATGTTTAGAATTATCACTGTTTATAAATACATTAATTTTTTATTAGAAAAAAATATCTAACCAAAGCTTTTTTTTTATTGAGGAATAAACAAATGTTTTGTATACAGTATAAACTAAGTGGGGCATTTTCTGGATAGGAATCTGACCTGAAGTACTGACACTCCAAATGAAGCTAAACAAGGAGGCAAGGAGACAGCAGCTCTTAAACTTGTATAAATCCCAGCTGTAATCATCAATGTCACAATAGATTGAACAGGACCAAGGGGTTAGAACTTAATAAAGCCAGTAACGCTTGTCCTGTTACAGTAAAATAGGGAGAAAATACACAGTTCAGAAGCTAAGGTAGTCACTAACTTGGTCCCAAGACCAAAGTAAGCCTCATTCTGTTTTCTTGATTCTGAAAGCTCATGTGGCATTTGTACAAATAGCATAAATTCTGCAATTGTTTTTTTTTCCTATTTTGCTATATGTGTTTCCATGTTGATTTAGTAGATGTCATCTGAATTGACTTTGTCAATGCCTTTGATGACATTATTGGATCAGGTCCCAGTATTGACTATCCCTATGGACATCTTCAGAATCAACAATGGAAACAGCCATGATTTAAAAGGAGCAAGAATTATTTCTTTTTTTAAAGGAGCTGTTGGGAATGTCTCTTTGTCTTCCAGGAGGTATTCTAATGTATGGAGCCCTGGTGCTGTTTGAGTCAGAGTTTGTGCATGTGGTGGCCATCTCCTTCACAGCACTCATCTTGACAGAGCTTCTGATGGTCGCTCTCACAATCAGAACGTGGCACTGGTTGATGATCGTGGGCGAATTCCTCAGTCTTGGCTGCTATGTGGCCTCCCTTGCCTTTCTTAATGAGTATTTTGGTAAGTGTGGCTACTTTCTGACCGGCGTCTTCATTACTTGACCTTTTACCTGCTACCTTTATGAAATGTGTACTTCCACATCATACAAAAAGGGATTGTATCAAATAAGTGCATCTGATAAAAATCTAAGGATCACAATCTCATCTGATTTAAATAATTAATTTAAAAGTAGGCAAGGCCAATCATTTTTCTGATTTTCTGTGTTTAATACCTGCTGTTCTGTCTTCTCTTTTCTTGCTTTCTTGCTTTATATTTGTGTGTGCTGTTGAGATTTCTCCACTAGAGGCCCCCACTTGATTTAGTTGTGGTGAAATTCTAAAGAAGACAAAAGAAGTGTTGCAATAGCTGTGAGATGAACATGAAAGAATTAATTGGTGAAAGATGTGCTGAAAAAATAATTCTGCAATTGACTTTGTAAAAAAGGACATTGTCAGGTTATGATGAGATTCTGCTTTAATCCACTTTCAATATAGATAAAACACTAGTAACAGTAATATCAATCCCCTTTGACACACTGCTTACAGTTCTGTGGACTAGAGCTTTTAATCTTTGTCCTTTTTCTTACCACTCAAGAGAGGGTGACTGGGTTTTGTGTGATATGTCACATTGCCCTTGACTGTGCTTGCTCAAAGAATACATCAGTTTTCTTTTAATAGCAGTATCCAGAATGTTAACTAAGTGTACTTCAGATAATGAAGTAAAAATTGAAGAGCAATCAGAAGACTTCCTGATATAGTGTTGTACATCACCACATTACTGTAACTGTTTATGTAGCATGTCCATATATACCTGTATATTTAATTTTAGAGCCCTAACGTTATAGCTTGCTGCTGTGGTTGTGTTGTGTTGTCTGTTGTCACAGATTGTTTTATTTTAAAAATAAATTCCATTTCATCACGGTTAAGGGAAGGGCTTTTCTTTAGCATCTTTGAGTGATGTCAGACCAACAGGACACCCCTGTGTGTCACAAATGCAGGATGAGTTCAAATAAATTGCAAAGATGTGAACAATGAAAATGAAATTTAATATAGCAGACTCATTGTTTCCAAATCCCACTGCCGGCTCCATTCAACAATTCATATTTTCTATTTGCATAGGACCTCTGAGCACTCATTAATGACAAATGGGCAATTTCCGAAACCAAAAACTATCATGCCAGACAACAAGCAATGGCAGAACAAAACAAAAAGCAAAGCATTTGGAGGACCTTAACAAGCTGTAGCATTTTCAGACAAGCACTGTTACAGTGGCTTGTAACAGTGTTATGACGCATTGTGGTGCAGATCATGCAGGCTTAGAGAATCTGAACTTCATCTGCACAGTAGTTTTCTGTTTTTTTATCTTCTGTTTGTCTTAGGTCATACAGTAGGTGTTTGCCTTAAATGAAAATTGTAGTCATAACTCTTTCCTTAACTCTACAAAACATTATAAGAATGTGAAATATACTTTATCTATTATTATTATTATTATTATTATTATTATTAGTTTGGTTTTTATGTCCTTGTGAAAATGACTTTTGATGGCACATGATTATTCATAACTGTTTAGAATGAGACGCATTTTCAGACAGAAGTTAGAAGTAGAACTGCAGATAGAGAACTTTCAGCTGAAAATAAAGACATCAAGAAATACTTGAGAGCTGACAAGGACTATCTTTAAATGCAGCTTAGGAACAGAGCCCCTGTTACTGTACATTTATGTGAATTTTGCTGTATGGTTTTTATGCATTTTGTTCATGAAGTGTTCATGAAGCGGTTATGACAGTTTGTAGTCTCATTCAATTAAATGTATTTGATAAAAATGAACCCCTTTTCATTCCATTAGTACATTACTTTTTGAAGCTGTGTGGTTCAGTTTCAACTGTATAAAGCCAGTCATTAGTGTACCAGTGAAATATTATAATCTTTGATTAGTCATGGCAATAATAAAACAAAAGTCTATGGGTCATAGAGTATTACGGTTTGATTAAATCTACTTTGTATTTTTTTTATTTTGGTAATGGAGAAAATGACTTGATAAATGTTTCTCCAGGCAAGTTGCTGTAAATGTTTGCTTACAAGACTGCCTCCTCGTGCGTAATGAGACCAAACATTCATGCAGTCGGAAATGTGGTGTTGTAATCCATGGTCGCTTTTAGGACTGCATGAATTTCTTCCTTTTTAAACATAACAAATGAGAGGTCACTGTTCTCCTAGATTCAGTGTTCTGTGTGGGGTGCTGCTTTTATGACTTTGTGTTGTATTGCCTTCTGTGGTGACTTTTAAACTCTGCCTTTCTCTTCCATGCTGTCCCTGCCATTTTTCCATTGAACAGGTATAGGCAGAGTGTCATTTGGAGCTTTCCTAGGTAGGTGCTTATGTACTGTAAATGGGAGTGCTTCTCTCTTCTTCTTCCTCAAAGGATTCTTACAACTCAAATACAGTCAAATACATACCCTCCATCCCCAACAATGGTATTCACTACTTTGTTTAGCATAATAGCAAAATAAATATCACTTCTTAAGCTGTACTCTGTTGTTAGGGATATCTGAGCTAGGTTTATTTTCTGACAAATTATTTTTTTAAACCTAGTTGATTTATGAAAACAAAATTTGATGTGAAAAACATGAAGAGAAAAGAGCTCATACACAAAATGAAAGGGGGCTAATTGAAGACATTCTGATGAAAAGAAAAGAAAACTGTGCTTTCATAGTTCTACATTGACTTATTTCTACTGTATATCAAAGCAATTTCTGCAAATTAGTGCAAGCAAGTGCAATAATCCAACCTCCCAAGAGTTTTTGTCTGCAGTTAGACTATTCCAGTAAAATGCCTTAAGATTAATAGGAACCTGAAAGACATCATTCAGAAGGACCAATCATGGGCTCAACAGCACAGTCCCACCAGTTCCACATGAAAGTTCATACACTCAGAAGAAACCCCATTACAAACCAAGTGTAAAACATGTAAGCATATATTAGGTACACCTTGAGTTCCTCTGTGACTGATAACGTCAGGAGCAATCTTCATCTGGAACCATCAGTTTTGTGTTGCACCCATAATGTGTAAGTTACTATGGAGGAGACTGGTTTTAGGTGAGAGAAGAATATCAGTCCAGACCCCTAGTGGTGCTTGTTTAAAAAATTAGTGAATTTAAAACAGAGGGTGTTAATACATACAGTAGCTGATTGCAGAAAGAGTGTGTAATTTAATGTATATTAGTAGAATATGTATTAGAAAACTGTTTCTAGTAGTAATTCATTACACATATAAATGTACACTTAAGAAGAGCAAATGTTCAGTGTTAGGCTGTCTTAGTAAACCTGAAAATATATGAAGCAACTTAAGGGGCTATTCTCAGTATTCCACAGATTGTGAGGCTGTGTCTGCTCATTTCATTAATTGCTATACCTATACCTTTATATGTAGCGATGGGAAATGGTGAAAAGACAAATTTGGTGATTATGCTTCTGTGATGATTGGACTGTGCCTTAACTCACACTTGTTTCTGTGTTTTGTTCTCTTTATATCTCTCCTCAGACCTTGCCTTTATTGCAACCCTGGCCTTCCTATGGAAAGTGTTAGCCATAACTGTTGTGAGCTGTCTTCCACTGTACATTATCAAATACTTGAAACGCAAGTTCTCCCCTCCCAGTTACTCCAAGCTTACCTCATGAGCTTTGTTTTGGATTTTTGTCCCCTCCTTCTACCGCGGTGGTGGAATCGTGCCCCCTCCCCTCACTCGGACACTGCAGGAGAGGTGGTGGTCGGTGGATCAGAACGGCTGGACCTTTTAAAGTGGATTAAGGAGACAGAAGTGAGCGGGACTGGAAGTGTGGAGAGAGGCTGTGAGAAAGGCATACCGTCCCTTCTGTTTTCAGGGACATGAAGGCTATACAGACTTATGTTTTCGGATGTCTCACTTAACGCCACAGTTCTAGTTTTTCCTCAGCTTCTCCGTCATTCCTCTTGTTTTCTACTTTTCTTGCTGTTTGTTTCTTTTTAAATATGTTTTTTTTTACCTTTCTCTACTGCTTTCATTAAAGACCATCTAATTGTTTTGTCCTAAATCTGCGTTAGAATTACCTCTGAGTTTCTTTCAGGAGTTTCCAGGTTGTGGTTTTGTTCCTCTTCTCATCTGGGAACTCCCACTGTAAATAAGAGCTGATATGTGCAGCTTTTTAATGTCCTCAGACTGCATCCCCTGTACAGTTCCTGCTGCTGACATGGTCCTATTTGTAATACAGCGAGTATTAATAATGAAGCACTAATAGAATTAAGTGCAGCCGCTTTTGTAGCGCAGTATTTGTTCCGGGAACAATTACCTAGATTGCTTTTCCCAATTAAGTTTTTTTCAGTTCTATTATAAACATCAAATGAAGCCAAATCACATGCATTTTCTTTATTACAATCAATTTACTTCTAAATCATAGAAGTTTTTCTTCATGTTGGAATTTAGTTATGTGTAGATTTATATACAGTTGCTCTCTTGTGAATACAGTGGTAAGCAGTGTTCCAGGAAGACGTTAGAGCACTGTATGTAATATAACTTGTAACAGGTGGTGTGTACGTGTTTCTGCCTTCCCAAGTTAAACCGGCAGAGATTTGTACCAGGCTTGGAGCATTTTGTTTCATATGGAGCGGATCAATGCCTGAAGACCCTGTTGTCAAAGCAAGATGTGCCGCTTAGAAAACATAATCATGTTTTTTAAGGATTATTATTTGTTTGTAAATACTCATCAGACACTCAAGCAGTGAAAATCGTATACCAGTCGTTCGCAATTCTCCATATGAACCCAGTCATGAATCTGCTCTTTTTTCATTGATTTGGTTCAGTATGAGGTTTCTCCGTACCACTGTGAGATACTGGAAGCCAAAAGCAGCAATTGGTCTGCACAGAGAAAAGTCTTCTCTTTGGTATGGCACAGCTGGTAAAGGCTTCACTCAAAGTGCAGTCCCAGCCCTGTACAGAGCAGAGATCACTGGGCTGTAAAAGTCGCCCACTTTGACAGTGAGCTCTCACAGGGCAGTGCACAACTGGCCACCAGAGACAGAAAATTGTCCAGGTCGATCCATGCCACACTGATCCCTGTGGTTGGGCAAGACTGTGCTGATCTTGTCTTCAAACAAGAGTTGAGTCAACTCTTGTTGTTTGGGCCTTACTGTGCAACGGAAATGGCTGACCTGTTTTCACAGGCAAGGTTTCACAAGCAGTGTCTCTTTGGATGACATGCTATTTGTATCTCAGATCCCTCATATGCTGGTATTAAGACTGTGAGCTTGTGAGTTTGTGAGCAGTGAGCCAAGCAAATTCTAAATGGGGTGTAGAAAATAGAATATATTCATAGTAATGAAAACTAATAAGAAGTTTGATAAACATCCATATGAGTCTTTTTGCCTTTTTTGGGAGACTATGTGTTTTCAGATAAATCATCTTGTAGAACTAGCAAATATTTCATTAAAGAGATAAAACATCTTATCATTTGCTTTACATAGATTTCAATCTACATAATTGCAGCAGTACCTCAAATACTGTATGATACCAAAAATGCTTTTCCTTTTATCACAGTGCAAGAATTGAGCGAATTCAGTGTTTTCAGTTTGCACACTTTTTCCAGGCAAAGCAACAGCAAAACTGTTTTTATGGCAGTTCTGCACTGATCACCCATTCAGAACATTTGTGGTAGTGCCACGTTCATGGCAAAGACTGTTCATTGAAAGGATTTAAAAAAGTACATGTTTTTTCAGACACACTAACAAAGCAGATTTGCATTAGCTGGAATTAGATTTATCATATGAAACATCTACCCTCCCAAACTGTATTGCTCTCATTATCTCAGGCTGCCATTGTACTCAAATGCTTTCCCCATTCATATACAGTAAGTGTATTTTAAAGAGGCTGGTTTGGCGTTATTTGATCATGAATACTAGTGTTTGTACAGTAAGACAAGAAGATTGAGAATACCTTGTCTTTCATGATCTTACCCACAGTCTCTGTAACATCATTTGCAGGGCTGCCATCTTTCCATTTATTCCAATCAAAACAGCTTGTTTTTAACTACTGTATGCACCAGCAACACAAATCCCCTAAGAAGACCAACTTCAGTCTTTTCACTTAGTTACATTAGTTCTCTTGCTTCTTCCTGCAGTTGAAGCAGGGATAATGCAAAATATATTGAAATTGTTCACCCCCACCAGCTGGTTTTGTTAATACTGCATTGTTATTGTAAATTTACCAAGACGTGTGTTGTTCCTTTGGCAAGTGTATAACGGGTAGAATAGTGCCTACCCTTTTAATTAGTACGAAGAGCAAAACACCCAGCCTTTTTTAAGGAATGTTTTGGCAGAGAAATATCCGCCCTCATTCCAGTGTTGTCTGGTGTTTGTGAGTGCAAATCCTATCTTCATCTCGGATAGCGATGAAAGGCATGAAAATGAAAAGTTGTCAGCCCAAACTTTTAGTTTACCAACGTTTCTGTGTGAAAACCTGTGTGAATAAAAATATAATATATAAAACAAATATACAGTATATAATTAAAATGCCTTGAAATTCAATCTTAATTTTGCTCAGGTGAATTATTCAGCCTAAAACTGCTTTCAATTTTTAGCATACAGAGCGGGAACCTCGTTCAGTATATTCACATTCGGAAGTTCATTCAGAACTGTTTCATCAAACCATTTCATCAATGTAACCAACATTTTACTGCACAAGGATGTGCTCTGTAATACTTGTCATCTTTTAAGGTCTGCAAATGAGTTTTTCATGTGACTTCTGAAATAAACCACCCTTTGAATGGTTTAACTGGCTACAGTTCCATTCGATGCCATTTATCTCGTCTACTTCATACAGTAAACTAGACAGTAGTAAATCCTTCCTCCAACAGTACCTCTGAACACTCCAGTTAACGTATAAAGATGTTTAAACCTTTGTGTTGCATTATAGCTACTATATTTTGGTTTGGTACACTGTAATTCAATATGCTTTCCATGTAGTTGGCTCCAGATTTCTAACAGTTATTCTTGGTAATAAATTGAATATTGAGCAATAAATTGATTTTTTTACAAAACTCTGACACAAGTGTTTTGTTATTCCTGTGCTGCCAGTTAGGTCGTGTACATGCTGCATTTTCTTGAATGCAATGAATTCAATTCCAATTTTTCCCCACAAGGTGGTGAAGTTTCACATGGTTCATATTTTTTTCCTCTAACAACTTTCAGTGTTTTTTTTTACTGAGGCATCATTCATGAGAGAAACCCTTAATGTACAGTCTGCATACTTGTATTTGAAAAAGGTTAGAAATGTATTGAATTGCAAACATTTTAATACAAAATTAAAGATTTGTTGCAAATATGCATCTTCTGAAGTATTGATATCTTTTAGGTGTGTAGCTGCGTCAGCATGCATAGGCTGCAAAGGAATAAGTAATAGGTTTATTCCATGTTGAAAAGAGAAGAAAGAAAGTTTTCTTTCTTCTCTCTTCAGCATGGAATAAACCTATTACTTATTCCTTGATATATTTTACTCCATCAACTGTTTTAAAATACATGATGCTAGAAATGAAGGCTGCACCTCCTTAGACATCTCTAGTGTTTTGACATGCTGGGTCTGCAATATAAAAAAATATACCAATATCTCCAAACATGTTCTTAATCTTGCATAAAGCGTGAGCTCAGTGCTCATATGCATAATGTTTATTTTTTTAGAAAAAAGCTTGCTCATTAGATAAAGATTAATTGTTATGGGTAATTCAGTATAAACACGAAAGGCTTACCCAATTTGCAGTATAAGGCTAATATCTAGTCTCCCTGATGTTGAGTACAGACACTGAAACATACATTAACACACTTTCCAAATGGATAACTAATACCATTTAACAATTGAATCAAATCATTCATCCTTACATTTAATAATGCCAGTTCAGGATCATAAAGGTAAATTTTCCAAGAAGCCAGTTAACCTATCGGCATGTTTTTGGACTGTGGGAGAAAACTGGAACAACCAAAAGAGAAGATTAAACACCACTAAAGCTGTTAAACCATTGGGCATTGGTTTTGTAAAACACTCATTAGTTTGTAATTTATTCCTCCTGGGTATTAGCAAATGTTACAGTTTGTTGAGGAACGAACATCCCCACGTGTAAAATGAATACACTTTTCTTTATAGAATCTCATGGAACATATTCTCTAAAATACTTTGTGAAGTTACCTGTGCAGTAGTTAGTAGGAGTGGGGAGTTCTTCTATCACTATCTCCTTTTGTATTCTTTGTTAATACACCATTTGTATTTATTTCCAGTTTGAGCTAAAATCACTTTCAAAACTACATATTCTTCCACAGTTTGCTTGAAAAGCTGTTTTATTATGATCTATAAAAGTATTTCAGTATTGCCCAGGTTTCATTGTGTAGTCTTTTACATAAGAAAAAAAGAAAGATGTCTATAACTGTTTGGCTCTGAGTTTGCCAAACAGCCTCTTTTGTAATTGTTCTTAGACATTACGAATTAATACTAAAACATGTCTCAGTTTAGTAATGCCTGGGTCTGTTTCGATAGCTAATTTTGTTTACAAGTGCTCAGACTAAGTTCTAGGTTAAGAAGTTTGGGTGGGGAGCTGTGTCAGCCTGCATTGACTGCAAAGGAACAAACAGGTAAATTAAACACAGAGAAGTACAGTAGATAAAGCGTTTCTACTATTAAGCTTTGTTCATGCATGAGGGTTAGAGAAATAGGAAGATATAAAGCAAAGGAGGACAAATGTGAGAATGGGAATAGCAGGTGCGAAAAAGTTGTCAAACTAATGGAAATTTGGGAGACAAACTATGGTAGGAACGTGAAAAGCTGAAATTTAAAAATTGAGAGGTTTTAGAAAGGAATTAGTCACTGAAAGCTGGTGCTAGTGGGATGCGAGTTTTAAGACTGTCATGTCTTTTTGGAATAAGAGTCCTGGAAACCCTGTAAAAGGACGCAGTCAGAGATCGTTAGTGTAACGATGTCCGTGTGATGGGGGAGCACTCCGATGTGCTCCCTGAAGTGGTCGGCCAGTCTCCTTCCGGGTTTGTCAATGGAAAAAGCACTTTCTGTAAGAGATGCCATAAATGTTATTATTGTTAATAATTGCTGTATGAATCCGATGCTCTCTGGGTGATCTTGAAAGGGCCATATATGTGAATATTTATTTGCAGATAAAGTTCTGTTACAACAGATGGTGCTGTGGGGTATGGATGAGGACTGAGGGCTGTTAAGAAAACCAGACAAAAAGGCTCCCTAGATTGGGTGGTTGGTGGTACTTGCTATTATTTTAATGAATTTTACTTTTTTTTAATTGAATGTTAATTTTGATTTAAATTTTAATTGAATTGGTTTAGAAGTGTAAATTGGTTCTATGCTGTATAAAGGATCATTTGAGATGAAAAACACTGTTGTGAGCAATATACCATCTCAAACATTATTTTAAACCCAGGGTAGTAATATCTTTGTGCCCATTTGGTATAATGTTTATTAAGAAGTTTTTTGGGGTCTCTGCCACTATTGTGCCATAGACTTTTTCTGCTTTTAAATTCTTAATGACCACACATATTGTGTTGCATTGCTAGATTATAAATGCTTTCCCAATAATAAAAATCGTTTTCTCTCCCAAACGATGCTTTATTTGGCCAGCAGGTGGCACCACAGACTTACATTTCCAAAAAAAGGTTAAGGCAGTCAAATGTCAAGGCTGGTCTTTAGGAGTTCTGGTCTGGATAGTTTCATTTCATTTTCTTTTTTTTTTTTTTAGATTTTTCTAACTAATCAGGAACAAAAGAAAGCAAGGAAAACAGAACTAATTAACTGTCTCTCCAAGATATACCAGTGCTGTGGAAATACTAGCTTCACAGTCTGCTCTCATGCTATGAATCCCATCTGTATGGAAAAAGTAGAATTATTTCTCCATGTGAGTGATGGTAACTTTTGTAAAGCATGAAATGGCAATGCATGCATCTCAAAGTTCTTTGAACGGAACCTAAAAACGCAGGTGGACAATAAATTGTAGATGTTGTAGGTGCAGGTGAATGAATTGCTGCCTAAAACATGAACTGAGTTGTTTGTATTGTAAACTAAAATACATTTGTGTAAATCTTCTACATTGTGCAGTCCTATTGTCAGCTGCCCCCTGGGTGATTGAAATAAGAAGCATATTTATCGTGATAACCCTGCCCACTTTATAACCCCAAATCAGAGGTCTATGGGAATCCTGCTTTTAATCTGTGACTTCCATAGAAGAAGGCAGGTAGAAAAATGTGTGTTGCAAAAATCATAAAACATTGGCACCGTGCCCACCGAAAACTCTCCGGGGGACGGTTGTCAAGCTGCTAAAGGGGAACCTTTATGGTATTTATCTTAGTTTTCACTCCCCTTCTCTTTGCTTCGCTATGACTGTGAAGGAGTCATGGCACATGATCGTTAGTGCTCCCTGGAAACATTATTTGACAGTATGCCCATGATCCAGGATTGTGGATCACAGTGAAGGTGCATGAAAACCACATAATATCACATAAAGCACGAAAATGCCATGATATACACCTTTATCATCTTTCTTAAAAACAGACACACACATGAGAACACACAACGCTCAGTATTACAAAGGGAGCTCCACAGGTCCAGGAGGTGGGCAAGCAGCTCACAGCAGCCAACTCTAAATAACAGCTGAACACCCCAAAAGTCCTTGTCCTTTGCTGAAATATTTTATGATTCAGTTCACTGCACAATTTTATTCAAGCATAAGATTTATTAGAAACCTTTGGAATCCTACCTTCATAAGGCTTCGTAGTTCTCAGAGGCAAAAATAATTCATTATTTCTAGTTGTATGATTTGCACATACTGTACATGCATCCAGGTTCATAATATTTCCTGCCATTTTTGTTTTAAATGAGCACTGGTTATTCAGGATTGTTACTTTTTTTTAATGTAAAGCCAAGTGAGCCTAGGTCTTTGGTCAAGGATAATTCAAGACAAAACCTGAATTAATGTAGACTGTTTAAGTGCAGTATTTGATCTAGGTTTTGTTTTGGGGTTTATAACATTGAACAGATGCATTCAATTTTCAGTCTCTTGCCTTGATATACCCCACATGTAAATCTGAAAATCACACTTCTTAACGTGAGAAATCAGCACCTGCTTGTGTGAGCATGAATCATGGATGTGCAATGTCAATCTTAAAGGCACATCTACAGTATGTTATGCCTTTTCATAATCGTATTAAGACTTGAAAATTTCATTTTTTTCATATGATCGTCATTTACTTGCTCCCTAAATGGAGATCTAGTCTACTTCCATCACTGATACTAGCTAGAATATGTATTGCTGTTCAAGGGCACGTCACCAAACAGCATTCAGCTCTGCTCTGCATAAGATTTGGGTAGCAATGTTGTCGCTTTTATATCCTAAAATTGCCTCCTTTATTTTCATAATTGCCAGCCTATACTGTACCTTATTAACATAGAGGGTGTGAGACCTGACATGCCTTTAATGTTACAGTAAGGTTGTGCCTTTTAAGATCAATTACATGTACATCAGCCCTCATTCTTTAACATACAGTATCACAGTGAAGAAAAGGACTAGGTTAGGTTATTCTCACATGAGTTATTTGTACAGGGTATGCCATTTTCCAATATACTAAGAATAAAAAGGTTGTTACTTTAAATTGTAAGAAATTGCAATGTTATCATCAGGAAAATGAGAAATGTTAGGGGGCTACAGTGAAAGCTATCATTAGAAGCAATGCTCATGCTTTGCACTAGGTTGCACCACCTGTCTTGGATTGTCTCATTCCACTCATTATGTTTGGGCAAATACCTGTTCACTGGTCACTGAACCCAAGATGTAACACACCATCATACTGTAGTTCATTCCACAAGTGAACAATGAGTCTCAGATCTGCTGAGTAGGGGATCCACAGCATCCACAAGTTGCCATCAGTCACTAAAGTGGAGGTCTGTAGCAACTCAACGCTCTTGGGCCTCCAAACAGATTGGTCTGTTGAACAAAGCAATTATCATTTAGCAAGTATCATTGCGCCTGTCTGTCCTACATTTGTTAGCATATCACAGTGTGGTCTACAGAAAAGTTCGATTTATTGCTAAATAAGATTTGGTTCCAATGCTGGCAAGTCCACCTGAACTGTAGCTCACTCCACCTCATGTGGTTGTTTTGATGAACATCGATGAGCACTGGCTCCTGTGTTGCTGGCTGGCCTGAAAACGATGACTGACTAGCTGAACTGCTGATGTGATGCACAGGTTGTTACGGACTGGTGCTTCT